AATTTTTTTGTGAAGCGCCTTGGACAATTTTGGAGATGAGCGCTATATAAATAAATTATATTATTATTATTATTATTATATTATTATTGTACCTTAAACAAGCTTCCCCTAACCTGCAAGAAATATCATTAAAATCACGTCATAAATTGCATTTATAATATCACTCACTTACAAATTACTACTTACCCTGCAGCACATGTACAATGGGCACAAAATATGTCTGCACTGGTTTTGTTTAGACAGACCCACGGCTGATGAGCTTTTTCCTTCGTTCTCAAGGAGGGAAGAACTCCAGCTTTTAAAAAACAGTAGGGTGCTTCTTTAACATCAAACGCTTTGACTTCCTCGACGTGGCCACTTTCAACATATCTACAAAAACATAAAACAAGATTTAGCGACCGGTTAGCGGGTGCAATAAAAAAGTACGTAAGTTACTTAACTTTGCGAAATTGATCACGAAAAATTTAGGATTTTGAAAATCAAATCAATCTTTTAAATTCCAAACATGACACAGTGAAATTCATTTAAAGAACCTAGTTCAGATGACTTATGCTGTAAAAAGTAAAGCAGCTTCAAGACAACAATCTTGTGTTTACTTATGCAAACATTATCACAATAAGTGTCATAAACAGCCAATTAGCGACCGCCATATTGTTCAAGTCGCTTGACAAGTTCACGATGAAAATGACCGAAAAGCAATATTTTGAAAACTTTTAAAAGTTGAGATAAATTTTAAATAAAGCTTTTAGGTTTGCCATAGAGGTTGATTAATTTACGGCTGCATAAAGTTCATTCAATGCTAGGTATTAAAGCCATCTATAGACTAGAGGCGTACGTTGATGGGGTTGATATTTGTACAAAACAACTAGTCTTTTCTTTAAAAGCTTATGTTCTGACAAAAACAGTCCTTTGCAGTAATACCAACGAAAAAGTATTAAGTATGATAAACTTACCTATGTGCCTCTAAGCTCTTGTATGCTTTCATTGATTTTTTGTCAAAAATAGACGGTGTTTCTACTAGGTACGTGTAAATCTGTCCAAAGTCCAGGTTCGGCCAAAGAGTTGAGTCGGTCGACCAATTTTCATCTTTTATGATGTATGGGTTCGGTAAAATAGTTCCAGATACACCAAAACTTATTTTTTTCCGGTACCGTTCTTTTGCTTCTGATGGCATACCCATTACGTATAAAGAAAACGAATTCTTAGTGTCTTTAGCCATAGCCAAGACACGGCTTTCCCCAGCCGTCAAAAATTCCACAAGCGCGCGTATAAGTCCGAATTTGACGGCCAGCTTCGAAATGCACGAGCGGATGTGACGTCAAAAAAAGATTCCAAATTTTGCACGGGACTGTCTATTTTTTAAGAGCTCATTCGAAAAAACTCCTAAAAGCTTATATTTCTAACACATGAAAAAATAGATTTTTGTATGGATTTTTGTTCGACTTTATGAGATTTTTTAAGAGCACCAAAACTACAAAATATGACAAAGTAATGTATCTCTTTGTCTTTAAATCGAAAATATCCATCTATTATTGTAGAATGATTGACTAGCCGTCATTCGTGCAATCATATAGTCTGCAAATAACTATTATCTTATGAATCTTAATTTTTTCTAATCACTTCCGGTGTCGCACGTCTTGCTCCAAAAGCTCGCACGTAGGCTTCCATTAAATGCTGATTATCTCGAAAACAAGCTCGGGACAACCAATTAATTTTTTTCCAGATTTGAAATCAGCATTAAATTTCAATTCGGAAAATCGAAGTTTTAAAAAAAGTTTAAATCGTTTCCAAAAGGAGGCAGTCGCCTTAAGAAGAATCGAGAAGGAAACAAGCGTGTCATAATGGTTTCAATAGGTAGAATCGGAAATGTAATCATACAAGAGTGCCGTTTTAGCCTAACTAGATAAATAACGGCTCAGCATTTTTCCTCTATGATTTTCAACTTCTCTTCAAAGCGCATTTTATTAAGAGAAACGGGCATTTATAACGGCTTCAGGTACATAACAGTCCGCTTTTTTGTTTTTGTTAGTTGGTAGTGCTTAACTTCCGGTTTAAAATTCATAATGCGCAAGTGCATAATAGCCAGATCCTTGCTTCCAGTCATTGGAGTTTTCCAGAGCCTATTTATTTTGTCGAGCATGCGCAGTAAGGAATAAAGGTTCTGGGTACGAGATTGGTCTTGATTCAATTGATATATACATACATCCAAAAGTAAAGCTATGTTCGCTCAGTACTAGATATTATTCCCCATCGAACAGTGAAATTCAAATCCCTAGACTAATACTAAGTAACTATGTGAGCCTAATATCTTCGAGGAACCCGGGTTCTAAGCTTCGCGTATCCACAAGTTAAAGATGAGAGACTTTTATTTAAAGATGGAATGAGCTTTAAGTAGCCTTGTGCTTCTGTGGTCAAATACTAGGCGCATTTAAGTGATCACATTCATATGAAAATTTGTGCCACACAAGTATTACATTGTTATTATTATTATTATTATTATTATCATTTTTATTATTATCAT